GATTTGATCAAAAAATCAGAATTGAGCATTAAGACCTGCAGTGTGAACGTAGCCTTATATACAAAGACTCTTGTTACTCCACTCTTATCTTCCAAACCTGTCTCTATTTTGCTTATGCAAACACGCTTTCAGTATTTCAGCCAGTTCTTAAAGATTTGCATGAAAAAAAACAACCTTTTGTGAATGTTATAAAAGCATTAATGTGTGGTTGCACCTTGAGTTGCCCCTGAATGTTCCTCAGGTGTTTCTGAGCCTCGGCCGCCTGCCTGTTAGCGTGGTTCAGCTGGATCTCCATCTCGTTCAGGTCTCCCTCCATCTTCTTCTTCACCCTCAGAGCGTCGTTCCTGCTGCGGACCTCGGCGTCCAGAGTGGCCTGCATGGACTCCAACACTCTCTGATGGTTCCTCTTCATCTGGTCGATCTCCTCGTCTTTCTCCGCTGATTTCCGGTCGACTTCAGCCTTCATCTGGTTCAGCTCCATCTGTGCATGCAGGATCTTCGACTCCTCCTGCTCCAGGGAAGCCTTAAAAACATTTCGGTTGCGTTTCACACTGTAATGGTAAGAATGCAGTATTTTTCTGATTTTCCTCCTTTTGAGTTATACCTCAGCTTCTTCCAGCGCAGCCTGCATGTCATATTTCTCCGTTTCCACCTGCTTCTTGAATTTGTCGAGCTCGTGAATCGTCTTTCCGCTCTCCCCAAGTTGTTCTGTTAAGTCTGAGATCTCCTCTATGTGTTGGAAAATCAGAATTGCAAGAAATTTTCAAAAAAAACTTCTTTAAAGTTGTTGATCCACACAAAACCTTCTGATCTGACTCACGCTGCAGGTTTTTATTCTCCCTCTTCACCGTCTCCAGATGATCCAAAGCTTCCTCGTATGAGTTCTTCAGTTTGAAGAGCTCGGTGCTCAGAGATCGACTCTCCTTCTGAGTTCCCTCGAGCTCAGCCTGAGACTCCTCGTACTTCTGCTTCCACTCAGCCAGAATCTGAGCTCAGGGAGACATTCGCTGGTCAGAATTATTGCTGTAATATGTGTGTGATAGTTAATATAATAAATACATAATACCTTGTCAAAGTTTCTCTGCTTCTTGTCTAGTGTAGCAGCTAAGCTGTTGGATCGTTCCACATCCACCATCAGGTCCTCCATTTCATTCTGAAGCCGCTGTTTCGTTTTCTCCAGAGAGGCGCACTTTGAGTTCACCGCCTCGATTTGTTCTTCAGCCTCTTGCAGACGCTGGGCGAGCTTTTTCCTGTCAGAAGCAAAACCGCTTGTTTCAAATCAAAAAGTCTTAGTTTTTCTTTTGTGTGTTGTGTTGGTGTTTTAGGACACATTGTTTCAGCCTTTATTTAACAA